CCACCACTACTACTACTACTACTACTACTACTACTACTACTGCTACTACCGCTACTGCTACTGCTACTGCTACTGCTACTGCTACTGCTGCTACGACTACCCAACTACTACGACTACTACAACTATGCCGACGACGAAAAAACCGACTCGACCGACTACTACGACGACTACGACGACTACGACTGCTACGACGACTACTACGACTACTACGACTACTACGACTACTACGACTACGACGACGACGACGACGACGACGACTACTACTACTACTACTACTACGACTACTACTGCTCCTCCTCCTCCTCCTCCTGCTGCTGCTGCTGCTACTACTACTACTACTACTGCTGCTAACACAAACCACTCCTTCGAGGACGATAAGTGTTAGTGTTATCTTCATAATAATACCGCTGCTTTGGCTAAAGAACTCAAGCATCGGCCGTCGCTTTGTTTCGCGTAGGTGGAGGAGTGCGTGGGCGCCTTCTTGATCAAGGTGGATCTGTTTTGCTTTCTGTCGTTCTGTGGGACGCTTGTGCTCTCTTTCTCTCGTTTGTGTGTGCCCGTCTTGCCAGTTTTTGAAAGAACTTCCGCTCCTCATTTTTCCAATTAACTACTCTTTTGCATCTGTTTGCTCTTCCCACGGATTCCGTATCCAACTCTGGCTTTCCCTCTTTCCGTCTCCATGTCTTTCTGTCTGTTTCCGTCTCTTCCTTTTCGTCTTTGTCCTTCTCCGTTTTCCTTCCGAGAGCATTCGCAAAAAATGACTGAATGGCCCTTCAGGTTTGACTCGCTTTGGAGGTTCTTGACAGTCACATTTCATGATGGTACCACTTGATCTTCCATGCCTGCAGGTACCTTGATGCGAATAATTTGACATAGATGTAGACCGGCACGGGCAAAGGGCCCCAACACATGCAGCTAATTCCAGAATCGGGACAACTGAGGATCCTAAGCCAGAAGTCGGCCTCAATAAACGAGGACTCGCAAGCTGCAGCTTAAACCTCAGCTCCAACTCCCGAACCGGAAGCTTAAACCATACATGAGGCCTAGAACCTCAAGCCCGGAATCCTACATTCTTACTCTAAAACTTGAACACCATTGTCAGAAACCTTTTAGAATCAGAACCCTAAACAAACCCTTATAGAAGCCTATTGAAAACCCTGCAGAACCCCGTGAACGTCCCTATGCAGCCCTGGCAGTAAGACTTGGAGGAGCTCCCAGAGGAGGTGATGAAGGAGATCGACGAGATCCACGAGGCGCATGAACGGACTCTGCGTCTAGGGTTTAGGGTTTAGGGGTATGTGTGTCTGCAGGGAATCTTGAGGGGTTTAGGCCTGTCAGGGTTTTGAGCTTAGGGCTCAGGACTTGGGGCCTAGGGTTTCGAGCTTCGCGGGCAACATGTTCATAACTATGCACGAAACTAATCTATGTTTGAAGATTGAAGAGGTAATCAAAGTCAAGACCACTGATACTGGCGATAGACGGTATCGTAGCAGTAGTAGTCAGTAGTCGGCATCGTCGAGGTCGTAGTCGTCATCTTCGTCGCAATTGTCGTCGTAATAGTAGTAGTAGCAGCAGCAGTAGCTGTCGCTGTCGCCGGAGCAGTAGCGCGCGCAGAGCACTAGCAGTCGAGTAGCAGGAGTAGGAGCAGCAGCAGCAGCTGCAGCAGCAGCAGCAGTTGTTGCAGTTATACCGCTCCAAGCAAGTCGAAGCAGTAGTAGTGCAGGCTTCGCCCCTCATCGTTTAAATCTCTCTTGTTGTTGGCATGGCTATCGTTACTTTCGTCGCCACCGTTAGTATGATCCTAAATAAACTCCAGGCCCTGAGCATTGTGAGAAAAAACACTTGCGCCTTCGTCAGGCATCGAACCCGACATCTCAACCTCGAGGTACTGGGGGCCACCGCCCCCGAATCTTAGGCATCAGAACCCTCAGTAAAAGAATTACTCAGCCTACGCAGAGATAAACAGAACCTCAGAGGAATCCGTTTTCGCTCCAGGAGCGACCAAACCCATCCATGCATTATGCGCTCAAGGACTCCAGCAGTTATCGAAGAGTTAGTTTTGGCTGCTGAAGGGACACCTTTTGGGTTTGGGGCATTTTGGCATGCCTTTGTCGAGGCTCCAACCCAGAGCACTGGACCCAAGCTTGGCTACGGTGTTTCAACTTTGTCAGAGAAGTCGGGTCGCTGACGGTTTGTGGGGATACTATTCCGGGCTTCAACGAAGGCTTGGAGCACGAAGTGTTTGTTCCTCTTACCACTGTGAGCGCTCTTGGTATGCTTGTGATCGTGGCCTTAATTGTATGTGTGTGTGTGTGTGTCTTGGTCTTGATAATGTTTCTGCCCCATGAGTGTGATTTTGACTGAGATGATCAGCATCGCTGTGTCGATGGCAATGATGCCAAGAACATGAAAGGACCAAGCCTTGCAGGCCTCGGTTGAAGCCTTACAGGGTCTCCTGAACCGAGCTGTATTGCCATGGAAATGCTACATGTTCAAATCCTTCAGCCACCCTCCAAGAAGAGCGTGCGCAGAAGGATAGATACGTACATACATGTTTGCATTGTACAGATACGTGCATATTATATTTATATATACATACATGTATGTGAAGGTGTATGTATATGTGTATACAATATATATATATATATATATATATATATGTATGCATATATCATATACACGTATGTCTGTATACATATATATACACACATGTATATGTCTGTATATGTATATATATATATATACACATGTATAGGTCTATATATATATATATATATGTATACATGTATGTTACGTGAACTGTTGTGTGATTTAGGTTCGATCAGTTCAAAATTAGGCTGCGTTGCAGGACACTATGTGTGCACATGTGTTTATGCCTTGCTTGCATAGCCCAGTTGCACGCACAGACTGCAAACTAATTTTTAAAGCAACTTTCCCTTGGATGCCAGGACGCCGTGGAAGGGGCCAAGTGGCTGGGCCCCTCTGCTGTGAGTGCCTGCGATGCATAGTCCGCCCACTTCAAAGCAAAAGGGCTGCACCACAAGCCCGTCAAAGGGTTTAGGCTTTAAGAGATAGACTTGCCACAGTAGTATGACAGAGAGGGGAGTAGTGGTGCTTTGCTGTTGTCACACTGCGTTTTGTCTTTCGGCGTCCTCAAGACCGAGACCTTGCGGCTCAAATGCCTTAAACTCCAAAACCCCGACCTTAAGTTCTAAACCTGAGAATCGAACTGCTTCGAGCTCTAACATGCGCAAGTCCCAAAGCCTAAACCTAGCACGACGGGCAACTTCGAGCTTGGGCCCAGCGTCGGCGCGAGGCATTAGTTTTGGCGGCAATTTTCCAGCTCCAACTGGGCAGTGCCTGCAGATTCAGAAATGCTCGGGCATAGACTCCAAGGTATAAAGCTTGGACCTCAAGCAAGCACTGTCCGTGGACCGCGTAGAAACTATACAAACGGATCGTTGGGTCAGTGGCAAACAAGCTTTTGGTGTCCAGTTTCGGATCCGAGAGAGACTGCGTCTCTGGAAAGTTAAGGAGTCGGGGCTTAAGGTTCGGGGTTCTAGACGTAAGATTCTTGGCCTTGGTACGAAGCTCAAGCTGGTGCATGTGGTTATCGCGGAATGTCAGAAGGTCGTAGTCGCGTAAGCCTCCACAGACTGTTGAAATAGCTGTGATCCCGCTTCCGCAGTTCGCGGCAGGAGTCCTCATTCGAAGCCCTGCCTAGGCTCCTAACGTGCCTAGATCCCATGGGGAAAGCACTTCGGCTGGTCTTTCCCGTTCAATCGCTGCACCAAAGCCCTGAAAGCGTAGATGAACCACCGGAGTTCTCGGGCTCAACGCAGCCTGTGCCGAACGGAACTGGCGGAGTCCATCTGACCCAAGGCTCCGCACTTGCCTTCATGGGTGCTAAGAACCTGGAGGGAAAGAGCTGCAGACACGGGCTTGGAAAGTTCGGAAACAGAGCGAAGATGTGAGGTGCATCTTCTCACGAATTTTGCTGGATGATCCTGCATCCTGAGGGCAAGAGTTCCACTTGCGGTCCTTGGGCCGCCAGGTTTGGATGATAAGCTGTGTGGGATGTTGAAGTTTAACGGGCGCAGCCCATTAGCTGTTGCGGGTCGGACTGCTCGTCCTCGTCGGAGATTGATCAGAACAATCATAGTGGAAATGCTGGCAGCAATCAATGTTGCATTAGTCACACCTATCGCCTATCTTGTCCAGACTAATTACAGGAAATACGATTTTGATTTGTCTTGTCGTGAGACCAACATCATTGGAATTGAAGACTTGCTGCTGCTGCTGCTGCTGCTGCTGCTGCTGCTGCTGCTGCTTGCTTCTGCGACGACCGCGACCACCATCACCACCAGTACCACCATCGCCGCCACCGCCGTCACCAGCTCCGCCTTCGCCAACGCTGCAATCATGCAACGCCACACCCAACACCTTCGAGAACGGGGAGAAGTCTTAAAGTCTGTGACAAAACCTTTCATACCCCAAAACCTTGACCCCAACGAAGGGCCCTTTGGCATGGCTCTGGCACGACGTGGGAGTGCCAGCGCACTGGCACTCGGGAATTTCTGCAGCAAGCAGTGCGGCAGTTCAGGGGTCAAGGGCTTGCATGCAGTTAGAGGACATGTCATTGCATTCTCCTTTATGGGCCCGTGGGTTTTGTGGCCAATGTTTTCTGGATGGATTGTGAGCTATCGGATAAAATTCCATCACAATCCCGTCAAACTTGTAGTGCAGCACGCCTCGGAATCCTCTGCAAGCCATTTCGGCCATTTAGGCCCCCCATGTCGTGCGCTGACAGGTCTCCTGGGCTTTTTGGCAAGGGTGACTGTGTAACTATCCCAGCTCGCAATCCTGAAACCGGAGCCCCTAAGTTTGAACCCATAACCCCTAAACAACAGAAGCTCCGAAAGCGCTACAGCCCCCAAGATCCTGAGAATCCTGTGATCATAGAACCCTTACAAGACCTCAAGCCTCAAAGTTCTGTCAACCGCAACATGGCACCGAGGCTTTGCGTGCTCGCCTCTCGGCAGGCTTTCAGAAGCTTTGTAGGAACCCTTGAGGGAACCCTCAAAGAGTCGGCCTCATGGGGTTTAGGGTTGAGAGAGGTTTCGGGGTCAAGGGTTTAAGTTTTTGGGTTCACGTTGAAGGGTTTTTGGGGGATAGGCTCTTGTGGGGCTTCAGGTTGAGAGTTCTAGGTTTCTGGGGCTTTAGGATAGGGCTTTAGGCTTTCGTGTTAAGCGCTTCAGGGCTTTGGGGTGCTCCGCGGTTTAGCGATTTGAGGTTCCGGCGGCTTCGAGCTAATGGGTTGAAAAGGTTCGGAGCATGTCTGTTTAAAGCCCAAACCTCAAACCCTGAGCTCCTTAAGCCCTGGAACCGGGGTTCAAAACCCTTAGCCCGAAAGACATCGTACCAGTCGCAAAGCAGCGGCCCAAACAAAAATGATCGGAAGGCCATCATCCGAAGAAACCCCGCCAAACCCTCAAGCCTCAACCTCGAAGCCGAAACCCCAAACCCCAAGAGTCCTAAGGTGCTCAAGTCCTTGGCTTTCCTCGCTACCCCGGCAGTCGCGGCTCCAAGGCTGCGTGCAGCGCAGGCGCCGAGCGATCTGTGGCTTTCGGACTTTTTGGGGATTCAGGGTTTAGAAGGGTCTAGAAGTTAGTCAGGGTTCAGAGCTTTTTTCTACTTCCGCAAGAAAGATGTGGTCGATGACAGATGAGACAGGGGAAGCTGATGAAGCCTGGCAGCCCCAAGAAGTTGGAAAGGTCTTCGTGGCCAGGTGCGAAGCCACCCTAGAAGAGCAAAGCAAGCACGGAATAATCTAAAACTCTTGGATGGTCGCTGGCCGAAGCTACCTGCGATGTGCAGCACTGTTCGGTTCGAAACAAGAGTACGAGAGCCTGTGGCTGACACCCAGTCATTCAGTTGACTGCCGTAACCACCGCCCGTGGCGAAAGTCTGCAGCTTTGCAGTTTCACGGAGGGGCTTTCGGAGGTTTGGGAGTTTAGGCTCCTGGTTTTCCGACCGGGGTTTAATTTGGGGATTATGGCGAGTACTAATCTTCCTTGACTACGCCTTTTGTAACATGTTGTACTTTTCTCAAAATTTTGCCTAAAGGAACCCTTATAGGATCCCTTAGAGGAACCCTTAAGGGATCCCTTAAAGGAGCCTTAAACGCCCAACAAGTCGGAGCCCTAAGCCCCGAGGCCGGGGCTTTCGGAGCAGCCGCGCTGGCTGCGCCGTTGCCGGCCCAGGCGGTGGAAGGACCTGGGCACATGAGGGTAACGTGTTTTTGGGTTCAGGCTTTGGGAACTGCTAGGGCTTAGTCTTCCGGCTTGAGTTTAAAGGTCTGAAGGTTTATGGCCTTTTGTGATCGCATTCTGGTTTCAAGGACCTGGCATTGCTCTGAGCGTTGCTTTGTGCTTTGGGGCTGCCGGGAGGTTCAGGATTGAGAGTGCTGCTGTCGTTAGTAGTATGGTTACAGTTGTCCTTGTAAAGAAGGCCTTCAATTAAGATTAAGGCTGCAACCATAAGTATCGGTGGGGGGAGGGGGTGTGGGGGGCTAGTGACGTCGGTTTGGTCGGCGATCATGTGTAATGATGCTTTACGAAGTG